CGAAACCATCTATAATATTAGTTCCAATTATTAAATTTTTCCAATCCAATATCCGGATGAGACTTTATTATCAATAAAATAATTATTTATTATTATTTATGATTCTTTCTCTATGATAATAATTTTAATTTATTTGTTATACTCATTTTATGAACTATATATATATATATATATATAGTTTATAAAATGAGTATAACAAATAAATTAAAATTATTATCATAGAGAAAGAATCATAAATAATAATAAATAATATATATATATATATATATTTAATGTATAAAATAATTTTCCATAATTTTTTAATTAACTCGTAACTGATTTAAACAGTTCATTTTATTGAACTGTAATGAAGTGAAGTTATACGAGATGATGCATTCTTGTTACAACGAACAATTTTACACATGACCTGATACAAATAATTGAATAGGAAGGTTGGAATTATAACAGAGAAATAGGAATAGAAATATTTTAAATTAATAATAGTAAATAATTTCGCAATCGGTGTTTCTACTTTAATATATCGTGTCAAATTATTATTGCAAAAACAAGTAGCTGTTTCCTCGTTTCTTCAATTATACGGGCACATTATTGATTTCGTGTAGACCGACGGCGGCAACAAGAATCTAGGTCTCTGAAGTAAAATTTTACGTGCAGCACGGACATGATTCCAGGTAAAATACTGGGCCACTGTGAACGACGCTGCTAAGATGTGTCGATACGGATACGGTGGAACATATATTCCATCTATAAATTTGTCAGGCGTTGCGGATTATTTATGCGGCCACCACGTGTTATTGGCTCACGCTAAGGTTTACAAGCTGTATCACCAGACATACGACGGTAAGGGAAAGAAGGACAGAGAGAAAGAAAGAAATTTCCAGTAAACATTAGAAGTAACGATAACATTAGGTTAATTTTCCACGCGACAATGTAAATACCACCTGTTGTACATAACAACCTACGTAGCAAAGTGACTTCAAATAACGTATTCATGTTACTTTAATAACGTCTCTAACGTTAGTACGTAATTGACGTCATTGCGTTTGCTGGAAATTACATTGTTGAGTGGGAATTTATAACATTAATGTAGTGTTATTGTCATTGAGTGTTTACTGATTTATTAATTGATTGACATACACTGAGGAAAAAGTGTTTGTTATCTGTGACTATAATCGTATAGTAAAAGAATTATAGTCAGAAGAACCAGTTTTGTAGCAACGTGTTACTTCCCTCACGAAAAAATAGTACTGAAGCTTAGTATGGTTGAATTTAGTAGTACTTTGAGTATTTATATGTCAGTACTTTCCTGTACTTAAGGGGATGCTGGAGTCGATGACGAACTCGAACAATGTCGATAATGCAGAGACGATCGTCACTAACATAATCACGCTATACTTTTCGTATTTCTTGTATATACAGAACTTATATGAATGCGTATTGCTTTGTTTTACCATATTCAACGGAAAACCTAATCATCCCTTATAGAAATATCATACTAAGAATCATTGATAATTACTTATTATCCAGTATTTTTAATACTGAAAATAAGTAATTATCAATGATTCTTAGTATGATATTTCTATAAGGGATGTATGTGTAGAAATTTTTCTGCAAACTTTTTCGATATTTTTAAGCTTTCAAATGCAGAAGCGAAGATAGAGCAATGTTCTTCAAAATTGTTCTGTTTGGAGCATCCACATTTTCGGCATGTATAAGCCGCGAAACTCTTGGATTAGGCAAATATTACGCTAACTGACAGCTTGAGATTTTACATTAAAATTTTTTTTGTTCGTTTTCGTCACATATCAAGCAATGCTCCTATTTATTTTTGCACGTACTTTCATTACGTAAAAGCATTTGTAATTCTATGTAACCAATACGACTTTGCAGAAAAATGTCAGTGTTCTGTTGATAAAGTTTTCAGCTGCAGCATCCCCTTAAATATTGCTAATATAAGTACTTAAGGTATTACTAAATTCGACCGTAAAGTATTACTAATTACCGAACTCTAGTATTACTTTTTCGTAAGGGTTATAGTATTAGTGATTATTAATAATAATGCATATTGCTATTGCTACTTTTTATTAGTACGAAGTATATTTGGCGTGAACAATGGCAATGATTTTAACGAAACTGATCACTTTTTCTCTCAGTGTGCACGTTACAATGACTCGAGAAGCCTTTTACAAGTCATGAGCAAACTTTTATTCACTTCCAACTTCATTACAGGCAAATTAGGGATACTCAATTATTATACATGGTTTGAGCCCGCGCAAAATTATTTAAATGCGGACAATATCGCTGCGGAGCTGGCACATATATTCTACAATGATTGGCTCACGCAGCCAATATTCGGTCGCAGCGGTGATTACCCGCAAATCATGAAGATGTCAATAGGGTTGAACAGCTACGTCCAGAATTTCTCCCAGTCGCGCCTCCCGACTTTCTCGTTCTCGGATGTTACTTACGTCCAGGGGTCTGCGGATTTCCTGGGGATCAATTATTACACCGCGGTCAGTGTGAAAAATAATGCAAATGTCACGGAGAATATATCATTTGACAAAGACGCGGACATCCGCATAATCAAGAATACAAATTGGTTCGGCGAAATGGATATTAAGGTACACTAAAACAAACTAAAGTTAAAAGAATTATGTTTAGAATTAAGTAAAATTTTACTGCAAAGTTTAGTCGAATCAAACTAAATAAAAATCAGATCAAATTAAATCAACTAGCAGTCCTATTTAGCAATTTGAATCATAAAATTTAGTTAGCAGTAATAAATTAATGAAAATGAAATGTAATTATATGTATAACATAGATGTTTTTTAACTACTAGAAAGTTGATCTAATTGTTTTATATGAGTAATTTTACTTCTGGTGGAACAGATTAAGTAAATCAAACGATAAATACGATTAATAATATATTAGGCAAGTTTTATAATCGCCTCATTAAACTGCATTGAGAAAAAATATTTGAAAATTTATTTGTGGGATATAAAAATTATTTGTATAAAATTTATATAAAAATTATGAAATAACATTAATTTTTACGAATAAATTTTATAACTCACTAATAAATTTTCAAATTTTTTCTTTCCAATGTAAATTTTGAGCATGTTTTTATATAAACAAAAGTTTAAAAGAACATCAAAATTTTTCTGAAAGAATTAAGGCAATTAATTAATTGTACACCGAGAAAATATGGTAGTAAAAATGATAAGAATTGTAATTTTGGGAGCCATATAGAATTACTATCGAAATTATTATCTATTTGTTTAAAAATGCAATTCATTTGTTAAAAAAGCATATATTCGTTTATGTACACACGTTTGACTTCTATTGAAAAATTATTGTAATTATTTAATATTTTTTATATAGTATATCAGATATAGATCGTCTTTACTGTTTCTATAGTAATTTTTATAAATATATTTTAATTAATGTTTCTCAGGCGACAAAATCTTTGGTGCGAAATACAATTTTCAATGACTAATGCGCTCTCTTGTATAATTGTGACCGAAGAACACTAGGATCCCGTAATTAAAATTGTTTAATTCTATCTGAATTGTTTCTCTTTTTTTCTCTTTTTTCATATTATATATGCAACATATAATATGAAAACGTTAATAATGTTAGAATATGCTTAGTGCGCTACAAATCCACATTTAATTCCAGAACACACCGTGGGGTTTGACTAACTTATTGCACCGTTTGCACGACAGTTACTTGTTGCCCGAAATTTGGATCACAGGAAACGGTTATGCGAATTCCGGAGACAACCTAGACTTCGACAGAGCAAGCTATCATCATGATCACTTGAACGCGGTTTTGAAGGCCATGCAAAACGGCATCGACATAAAAGGCTATCTGGTGAAATCTCTGACGGATGGCTTCGAAGGCATGAACGGATACGAGTAAGTGAGGACGTCAGATGACTAAAGATTGCAACATTTTATTTTGATGAGTTTCACCACGTATCCTGTATAAGACAATTTGTTTCTTAGAAATATTCAGGACGTTTTTCTATTGGATTTAGTTGCAAAAATATCAATTAAAGAACAATGCTGTAAAAAGACCAAAATTTGTCTATAAGTATATGAAACTGGATTACCTTTGTATTTTCGGACCTGTTGAACTCGAATATAAAGCTTAAAATAGTTCAAATTTCGGGGAGCTTTGTGAAAATGCAGTTTTTTTTAAACAGAAAAACCTTGTTTTTCAGTAAATATTTCTTAATGAACGATTGACAATTGTGAACAAAAGAAATCTTTTTCTATCGGTTCTATTGATTTTTTTTATTGATATTTTTGTGAATTTAACACAGTTTTTGATGATTTGATACATACTCGCAGCTTTTACCAACTGAAAGCTACTCTTCTTTTGCTGTCACACACATCCCTTCAAAAAACTTAAAAATTACTTTTTTTGTAATGAAAAAGTGGCTTATGTTTCATCACGAATAACGATATGAATATGCCATTAACTTGCCGCTAGCTCCGCACCTGAACGTTGCTCCCAATTTTGTACGTTATCTTCTTTTCACTATAATTCACGGAGCTGTGAGAATAGGTTAGGTGATCAAGAATAATTTGTTAAATTAAAAAATATCAATAAAAAGAATTATTAAAATTAATAAAAAAGACTTTTTTGTTTACAATTGCAAAGCGTTCATTAAAAAGTATTTGCTGAGAAACGAGGCTTTTCTGTAAAAAAGTGCATTTTCACAAAGTCCTCCGGGATTTAAACAATTTTAAGCTTTATATTCGAATTCAACAAGCTAAAAATATAAAGATAGCCGATTTCATATATTTTCCTTACGGATAAATTTTGGTCTTTTTAAAAACACAGCAGCATTGTTCTTTTCTTCCATTTACTTAGGCCTAGTTGCACCAACATTATTTTGGCTTTAAGCGAAATTTAAACATATATTTATCTTTATCTTTCTTTTTAAATAAATGAAGACAGACATATATTTAAGTCTCACTTAAAATCAAAATAACGTTGGTGCAATCGGGCCTTACTGATTTAAGTAAATATGTTTCAATTCGACTAATTGACGATTAATTTGGTCAAATTCAATAAAAAAATGTTTAAATGACGTTGATTTCGATGAATTCAATTAAAGACGATTTAACTGACGATTTATATAAGCGAAAGAGATCAAAGATCGTTCAATTAATAATTGAACTTAGCAAATTTAGTTAAAGGTCATTTAATTGACGATTGAATTTAGCTAATTTAATTAAAGGCCGTTTAATTGACGTAATATGAGTAAATTTAATTGATTCAATCGAATAGCGTTTGATTACTCAGGATTATAATTTGTAGATAATATTCATATCCGGAGCGTCGTGATATCGTGGAAGATGCAAATAATTGAGGAGCGCTAAATGGAACTCGCGTTAAGGAGGGAATTGGATATATCTATTGTCACCGAATAATATTCAATTGAATCGATTGAATTTGCTTGTACCAATCGTCAATGAAACAACCTTTAATTAAATTTGCTAAATTCAATTATTAATTGAACGACCTTTAACTGAATTCATTAAAAACAATCATCAGTCGAACGATCTCCGGTCGAATTTGTCGAAATCAATTGTCAATTAGCGTTTTTTGAATGAATTGGTTTACATTAATCATCAATTAAACAAGATAATTTGAAAACTAATTAATTATTCATACTATCCTTGTGATACTTTGTGAAACTTATCGAACGTTGTTGCAACTTCTAATTATATGACTGTACTAGAAATTCTTCGAGTGAACTAAAAGTACATGGAGAAAAATAATTTTGTTCTTTTAGCAAAATCGTCGTTGCTACTGCATATTCGTAGTGACAGCAAAAAAATTTAGTGGATGTAACTAATTTTACAAATTATTCGTTATTAGACTAGAAGTAGTTTCGTTGCCAAGATAGAAAAAATTTGTTGAGTGTATTTGTCCTAAGAATCATGTTATTTTGCTATTGATGCAAAATAATGTATCCTTAGCAAATTTATTTGTTATCAGAGCAAAACTGCAACTGCTTATATAAATCCATCATGGTTTTTACAGCAAAATAATTTGTAGATTCAGCAAATAGTGATTAGTACTCTTAGCAAATCTTTTTGCTGTCCATATAATAACGAAAAAATTTTGCTAGACCAGCAAATAATTTGCTGGGTCAGCAAATTATTTTTCTTCGTGTAAGAACGAGACGGCAAGATATATGATCTGCATTTCAATGCTAGTAATTTATTATCACATATAATTTCGTTACATACATCGCTGTATACATAAAAAGAGAACTTTGGTACAAGTGAAAAATTTTACCGAAGAAATATTTCACTTCTAATAAAATGTGGGTTATTACTTAAAAATCCCCTTATAGAAATATCATACTAAGAATCATTGATAATTACTTATTATCCAGTATTTTTAATACTGAAAATAAGTAATTATCAATGATTCTTAGTATGATATTTCTATAAGGGTCTACTAGAAATTATTTTAACTTTTTCCTCTTTGAATCAAGAGGAATGCGTTTACTTGAAACAAAATGCTCTCTTAACAATATTGTGCTTAGAATATAATATTTTCCTTTTGGTTTTAAAAGAGTCTTCTCTTGTGTGAGGTCATATATAAAAGTAAAATTTTCTAGGATTCAGAAATTCCGTTAAGGATGAGATTATATTTTTTTGGCATATGTTACAGGATGAAGTTCGGTTTGGTGAGTGTCGATTTCAATGATCCTAATCGCACTAGAACGTTGAAGTCATCGGCCGCTGTGATATACGACATTTCTACAACAAAGCAAATAAAGCCGCTGAAAGAAATCTTCGATGCGTTCGTGGAAAAATTGAACTTGTTGTTGTAAGTCGTGACACGAGTACTTGATAAGCTATTGAGCAGATGTGATCGTCACATGAACACGTTGTCTACTGCGTTGTGACTTTCGTTGACAAAAGCTTAACTAATTATTGAATTACGAAAGATACAACAAATAAATAACCAAGTAGGATGATGTATTAATAACGTATTATTTTAACGTTAAAGATGTCATTAAAACATTATTTGATGTTATCATATTTGCTGGACATGATGACGTCAATTTCGTATATATCTTTTACTTTATTTCACTTGTTCTTTTTCTGTTGGTTGCACAATTAATTTTTAAAATGCAATTATTGATAATTTATATGCATACTATTTAGTTTTTAATATTATAGTAGAGAGATAGATAAATTATAATAATTTTACAATTTTATTTATAGTGTGCTCTGAGGCAAAATTTTTTTAAATGTAGTAAGTTACAGAGATAAGAAATAAGACTTACAAATTAAACTACAGAATTTAGAAGAGTTTAAATAAAAAAAATTGTAATACATTAGAAATAGCAAGCAAAAAAAAAAACAAAAAATCAGTCAAAAATAAAAAAGCATAAAAAAACTTAAAAAAATGAGAACACAAGAGAAATTAATCCTCCACCTTAACCCGCGATTTATGCGAGTTGGACGTTTGACTCTTTTTTGCCACATAATATATATCATAAAATTATAATATATACATCATATTTCGATTAATATATAATCTAAACCTAGTATAGTCTAATTTCTGGGGAACTCATTTGAATACATTAAGTTTTCTCGAGATATATTCTCGAGATATATTCTCGAGATATATTCTCGAGATATATTCTCGAGATAATTTTTTTTGCTTGCTATTTCTAATGCATTACAATTTTTTTTTATTTAAACTCTTCTAAATTCTGTTTAATTTGTAAGTCTTATTTCTTATCTCTGTAACTTACTACATTTAAAAAAATTTTGTCTTAGAACACACTATAAATAAAATTGTAAAATTATTATAATTTATCTGTCTCTCTACTATAATATTAAAAACTAAATAGTATGCATATAAGTTGCATATAAAGTATCAATAATTGCATTTTAAAAATTAATTGTGCAACCAACAGAAAAAGAACAAGTGAAATGAAGTAAAAGATATATACGAAATTGACGTCATCATGCCCAGTAAATATAATGTCTCGTATGCGTATATATTTGTGTAGAAAAATTATAATCAGACGTACTATCGATGATAACAAATATTTTATTTCGCTATTTATAATTATTATCTCGTAATGCATTTTAAAAACTCTTCGGAATGGTCGATATTATTGTCGCATTTTAACTTTTAAATGACATTTCGCTACAATCTTTTTTAGAGCATATTATGGAGCATAATTGCTTAATTTATCCTGACACATAAAAATAATAATTGTCGAATTATTATATGTCGTATAGATACGAAAGTAGATAATGATACTAAATTGATATTGAATGATACTAGAATAATACTAAAATGATATTAAACAAAAGATTAACGATTAAAAGAATGATATTAAACAAAAGATTAAAAGATTAACGATTAAAAGAATGATATTAAACAAAAGATTAAAAGACGATATTAAACAAAATTGCATATGGCAGTTTGCATATGACATTGCACATGACATTATCTTTTTTCGATAATCGCTTTTTAAAATAGGCACGTCGTAATTGCGCGCTACTTATTTGCCAATTAGTCACGTGTTCCGAAACGCACACTGAGGAAAAAATACTTGAAAATTCATTTGTAGAAATAGAAGCTTATACTTCACAGAAATAAACTTGATATTCCACAAATATATTTCAAGTATTTTTTCTCAATGAACATTGCTTTGACATTTTTTTTCATGAAATTCAATTCAATTCAATTACTACATTAAAAAAAAATTTTATATACTTTTATAATTATATTCAGAGTGGAGAATTCATCCTGTATGAGTGAAAAACCTATCGAATTCGAGTTACTCAGCTATCACTCTTTTCTTTTCTACTTTATGAGAGAAATATCACTCCAATAAATTTAGGGTAAAATAAAAAATTTTTAGTAAAGACTAACTTGAAATGAGAGATCGATGCATCATGTATGATGCTCGTAGTGAACGTGTCAATTATGTTGTTACAAATATAAGATTGATGGAAAGGGTCTTTGAACTTTTAGAAAACGCAATCAAGTCCGGAACAAAAATTACACAACATATCGCCAACAATAATACGGGAAAAAAGCAATAGGAAATTTTTATACACGCGAATCCCTTGTGGATTGCAGCGCTCGTTTTGTCGAATCGATTCGAACCACAGCTTCAAATTGTGATCAATAACTTACAAGCGAACGGCAATCCATTTGGGATTACATGACGCATGGACGTCCAGTTATCGTCAACAACCGAAGTGACGGCTGGCTCGTATCGGGAATACAAGGAGGACACATTCGACTAGTGAAAATGCTCTGAATAAGAAGAACAGCACGCTGTAAATAATAAAGTCCGAGTCGCGGTATGCTCGCGACTAGCTCTTCTATTTTACAATCGTAACGGGACTGGCATCGCCTTCTCGTTTCTCGTAATGCACTCGAGGGAAGTCACTGAAGTCACACTTGTGTGCGTTTTCTACTTGCAGCGCTTTATCTAAGAATATCCTGGCAGAGGATTCTACCCGACTATCTCATGACGCAAATGAACGAGGATGCTATTTATTATTACAACAATTCGATCAACCAAATGCTCGCCTTTGGTTTGAAATTTTGAGATTTACTCTATATCTTGCAGCAACTGGTAGGTTGGATTAATTCGTTAATGACGGATTTATCGGAGCACTACATCATAATTGTTTTCGCTTTCGGAGATCGACTGTGTAGTTTGTTGTCGAGTACAGGATAAGAATTTATAGCTAACTTAAGCCAACTTAAGGCTAATCAGGCGAGAAGTCCGCATTGACGACACAGCCATCAGTGAAATAAGAACTTCGTTCATGGTATGTATAAAGCGAATTATGTAAGTATATGTGTGTATGCGTGTAACAGCTACTTAAATTTTTCCGTCCGAATCACAGTTATTACTGACTGTAGTGCTTATATATCACACATAACACAATTGCGGAAGTGTCAAAATACTCCGGATACTGTATTTTTTGTAATATTTTAACTATAATAGTACTTATTCTATCATATTCCGCACCGAGTCTCACAGTTGATTTCCTGTCAAAATAAGCCGATTTTCACAAGTATATTTAGCAATGTTGTAAAGGTTATTTCGGGAAATAAACACTATCCGCATTTACGAGTATGTAGGAGCATTTTACGAGTGTGTAGGTTCGATTGCAAGTGTTACTTTGTTAACATATCTTTTTATTTTGCAATGATTCGGGCGCAAAATTCATATGCAATTTCTCGCTTCTGATGTCATCAACCAATATGGCTGCGCTGACTATCCAGGAGTCTTAAAATTGTAATTTATTAATTATATGTATGTTAATTACCTTAACATACATTTTTCAATATTTACGGTTGTTTTGAACGACCCGAGGTGAGCGGCCGGCTCGTTTCGCTAGATGCTGATATGTGTGTGTCATGTCGCACAGTGTGCCAAAAAGCACATTTGGTGGACAAAATTCTGTCTACATCACAAATCTGCATCGATTTTGATAAAACTTTTTTTTAAAATACTCGTGAATAGTTTTACTGTAATGTCTCACTGCCAAAAATTTGAAAAAGTAAACCTAACCTCAAAAAATAATTCCAAACTCCATTAGCTAACTTCGTTATGGGGTTATGAAGTTTGGAGTTATGGAATTTAGGGTTATGGGGTTTTTAACTTGTGGATAATCAGATTTAGGAGTTATGGGCAGTGTTGTGCTTAGATGATTTTAAAATTATCTAGATAAAGATGAGATGAGAAGTTGTAAAATCCATCTTAGATAAGATAGAGATGATTTTGTTTTAATTTCACCTAAATAAAAGATAAGTTTATAGAATGATTCATCTAGATAATTTTCAGATAATTTTATTATTAAGACTATTTATGTAATAATAGTTATGGAAAAAAATATTTTTTCGTTTCTTTTTATTTACAATAACCACACACTCTCTCTTTCTCTCTTTCAAAAGTGTCCTGGGTCTGTAAATCCGTTGTCCAGTCCAAATTATAACCACACTCTATTACGCAGTTGTTGAACTTATATTCAGTATATACACATTTAAGGGTAACTTTTACCAAAATTTAGTTCACTTTGGACTTGTTTACACAAGGTGTTTCTGCCGCGCACTAATGTCATATAACATCCATAAGCGCATGCAAGTGCAAGCGGAATCACACGGCAACAAACGTTTACGCGTGCAGCACTCGGCATTAGAAGATACGCGCGTGTCGCAAACAATAGACTGCACTTGCACGCATCGCGCGCGTTTCCGTGCATCTTCTCATAGCAACGTGCGGCTATTGGTTCTCGCAAACCGGCACGACGAGCAACGCGATCTGCAACACGTGATATCCAATGAAAATATTGCTATTCCAAAAAAGCTATACGTTCATTGGACGTTACGCGTCGCATATAGCGCTGACTGCGAGAGCCATAATTGTGTAATTTTATTCCCAGAAGTCTTTCTACAAATGTGTACCACATAAACACAAATATTTCAGTATAACTTGCATATTTTAAGCAACATAAACCAAATTATACGAATGTTATCTTAGATAATTTAGTAAAGATAATTTTTTTATCTAAGATGCAGATAAAGATAATTCAAATTTTTATTATCTAGATAAAGATAAGATGACATTAAAATTGCATCTAGTTAATCATCTATATAATTTTATCTAGATAAGAGCAAATACTAGTTATGGGACTGTAAGGTTTGGAATGATGGAGTTTCGGACCATGGTGTTATGAAGTTTGAGGTAATTAGGGGTAATAAGTAATGGAGTTTGGGGTTATGTTTACGTTTCTCAAATTTTTGGTAATGAGACATTGAGACATTTTTGATAGTAGAACTATTCATGAGTATTTTAAAATTTTAAAACCCGCTATCCAGCGGTAGGATGGTGTGAAGTCCAAGCAATTTACGAGAATTTACGAGGAGGGAGCTGAAAAGACTCGCCTTCGAGTGTCTGAGGCCTCGGTTGCTGTTTCAGACTCCGAT